GAAAACACATGAGTATTTTCAGTTTTATTCACAACTGCCAACAAATTGGAAACAACCCAAATGTCTGTAAACTGATGAGTGGACAATTGGATAGAGCCACACCACTGGAATACTACTCAGCAATAAAAAGGAATGAGCTACAGCTGTCCTCTGCGGGGCACTGTTCTAGCACTCCCCTGCCCACATACCAAAATCTGCAGCTGCTGAAGTCCCTTGTATAAGATGGTGTAATATTTGCATAGAAACTCTGGCATACTTTAAGGCATCTCGCGATTACTTAAAATACCTGGTAGGGTGTAAGTGCCATGCACAAAGTTGTTACAATATAGTTTAAAATTTACATTTCTATTGTTGTATTGGTGACTCATGCCTGTAATCCCAGCCCTTTGGGAGGCAGAGGCAAGAGGATTGCCTGAACTCAGGAGTTCAAGACCAGCCTGGGCCATCTGGTGAGGCCTCATCTCTACAATAAATCAAAAAAATTAGCCAGGTGTGGGAGCATGCACCTGTGAGTCCAGCTACTTGGAAGGCTGAGGTGGAAGGATTCCCTGAGTCCAGAAGGTGAAGGCTGTGGTGGCTGTGAGCATGCCACTGCACTCCAGCCTAGGCAACAGTGAGACTCCAACTCAAAAAATATATATATTTTTTCTGAGTATTCTCCATCTGTGGTTGGTTGAATCTATGGATAGGGAACCTGCAGATATGAAGACTCAACTATACTAACAGATGCAACAGAATGGATAATAGCATAAACTCAAAGATGTATGCTAAGTGAAAAAAGTCAGACACAAAAAGGCTACATGGCTTCATTCATAAGACGTTCTATAGGAACATAAATCAGACTCGTGATTGCCAGGGGCTGGTGGCAGGAGGAGGGGACTGACTACAAAGGGACTGGACTTGAGGGGCCATTTTGGGGTGACGGAAATGTTCTATATCAGGAATATGGTAGTAGCTACCTAACCACACTTCTCAAAATTCATCAATCTGTACACCTTAGAAAAGCAAATTTTATTACATGAAAATTATACCTCAAATGAACCTGACTTAAGAAAATAGTAAAACAAACCTAAAAAAATAAATCTAAGAAAAAAAATAACTTACAGTTTTTCCAGTTCTGGAGTCATCATAAGGAAGTTCTCGATCATTGTAATTGGGACTTGTGTGGCTCCCATGTCCCTGAAGGAGACAGCCCAAACATACATGATGTGAACCCCAATACAAAGATTCTGTACTTAAAAAGATATATAAAGGACATGTGATTACTTCAATTTGAGCTTCTCTATAAAATAAGCCAGCCCAGGAGCTTATTATTATTCACTCACCTAAGTCTCACAACAATCCTGTGAAATGGTAACTATCATAACCTCCATTTTAAAGATGAGGAAACTGAGTCAAGAGCTGAGTAACTTGCCCAAGGTCACAAAGCTAATGAATAACAGACCTGGTTTCCAACCCAGGCAGTCTGTCTCTAGGATCGACTTTTTTTTTGAGTCAGGGTTTCTCTCTGTTGCCCAGGTTGAAGTGCAGTGGCATGGTCACAGCTCACTGCAGCCTCCAACTCTGGGCTCAGGTGATCCTCCCGCATCAGCCTCCCGAGTAACTGGGGCTATAGGCAAATGCTACTACGCCTGGCTCATTTTTACATATTTTTTGTAGAGACGAGGTCTTCCTATGTTGCCTTGGCTGGTCTCCAATTCCTGGGCTCAAGTGGCCCTCCCACCCTGACCTCCCAAAGTGCTGGGATTACAGGTGTGAGCCACCATGCCCAGCCCAGGATCTCCTCCTAACCACTTTGTTGTGCATCACTAATGAGATGATGAGAGGGACATGCTCCGGCAAAGAGGGCGAGGGTGCAGCAGAGCTGGGAGGAGAGAGAGGGGAAGCCATGCCATGAAAGGAGGAAGAGCAATTGCAGGTGAGAAACAGGAGATAGCACAGCAGGAAAAGGCGGGGGAGGGAGGAGCTGGCAAGCCAAAGGCAAGAGCAGAAAGGCAGTCGACGGGGTCTGGGAGGACAGAAGGCCCAGGAAGGCCTCCGGGGAAAGGCGGCCATGTCAGGCAGGAAGCAGAGCGTCGTGAAAGGCGAGTCTTACAGGGTGGTGAAGGTGCCGTTGTAGGTGCCGGGCTCCAGCACGGGCACGTGGTGGAGCCTCTGCTGTGGGCTGAGATCAGCGCAGGACAAGGTCTCATCTCTGCAGGCACAGAGCTTGCATATGTCGGTGCTGGTGGTGGCGCCCTGTTCCTCCTTTGTCACAGCCAAAGCCTTGTTTGGGGTGCCACTTTCAGACTGCACCTGAGTGACATCCTGAGTGAGCACCACGTGGAGAGGTCGGCCTCTGGTTGTAGACAGGATTGGGTGCCGAGTCAGATCCTGGGTTGGCCGTTCAAGCGTAGTCTTCTCCGGGGCCTTAGAATGTTCCGCCTCCGTAGTGGGCTCTGGGGTTACGACGAGCCCCAGGTCCGGCTGAGTTGGGGTCTCCCGCATGGGGGGAGAGAGTTTAACCCCTGTAGGGGGTTCTGCAGTTACAGCAAGTTCCAAATGTTGGGCTGTGACCACACTCAGGTTTGCCTGCTGGGTTTGAACCTGGCCAGGGCGCTTTGAAGTCTCTCTCGTCGTTGGGGCTGTTGACAGCTCAGCCTGCACAGGGGGTGCTGGCGTGATGGTGAGCCCCAGGTCCAAAGGCTGGGCTGGGACTGCCTGCTGGCGTGGAGGTTCGGCCTTCTTCGGGGACTCCTTCGGGGGCTCCGGAGGCTGAGTGGAAGCCCCCTGCTGGCCTGCAGAGGCTCCCATCCCCTCAAGGAGCTCTGGAGGCGAAGACCAGGCCGCCTGCTGGGTAGGAGAGGGTCCCACCACCACAGGGGGCCCTGCAGACGGAGCAGGGACTGCCTGTTGGGCCGGGGAAGCTTCGACAGCCCCAGGGGGCTCCTGAGATGCAAGCGGGCTCTCCTGTGGGCGGGGAGGGCATTCCTCAGGTGGCCCTTTGGATGGAGCTGAGCCGCCTTGCAGGCCTGGAGTTTCCGTGGCCTTGGGAGTCACAGTCACCACAGGCTCCACAGTCGGAACACCCGGCGATGGGGACGCTGCACGTGCTCGAGACTCGGGGTGGCCTCAGGCTCACCGGGGAGCGGTGGAGGCTGAGCCGAGGCCTCCTGCTGGCTGGCCTACGGGCCGGCCTCCTCAGGAGGCTCAGTCAGGGCATCTTGCTGGGCTGGGGAAGATTCAGCCTCTTCAGGGGAACCAGACTGGGTTGGAGAAGATGCCCCCTGCCCAGCGGGAACAGGAGGGTTGTCCTGCTGGACTGAAGAAAGCTCAGCCTCTGCCATGGGCTCTGTTTCCATGGTGAGTGCCATGTCCACCTGGGGAGCGGTGGCATCAGATGCTGGCGACAGCTCTCTGAACCATGGAGACAGATCTGGGGATGGCAGCATCAGTTCGTCAACAATTAGACTGGTACAAAATGGGGAGAAGGCTGGAGGCTGAGATGGGGCCTCTTGCTGGGCCGGGGAGGCTTCCGCACCCCCAGGGGGCTCCTGAGACTCAGGCGAGCTCTCCTGTGGGCGGGGAGGGCGTTCCTCGGGCGGCCCTTTGGACGGAGCTGGACCCCTTGCGGGCCTGGAGTTTCCGTGTTCTCGGGAGTCACGGTCACCACAGGCTCCACAGTCGGAACACCCGGCGATGCGGGGCGCTGCACGTGTTCAAGACTCGGGGTGGCCTCCGGCTCCCCGGGGAGCGGTGGAGGCTAAGCCGGGGCCTCCTGCTGGCTGGCCGACGGGCCGGCCACCCCGGAGACTCAGAGGGCCAAGCCGGTTGCTCCTGCTCGCTGGGGAAAGGTCCAGCCTCCACTGGAGGCTCAGCTGGGGCCTCTTGCTGGGCCAGGGAAGCTTCAGCACCCCCAGGGGGCTCCTGAGACTCAGGCGAAGCTCTCCTGCGGGCGGGGAGGGCGTTCTACAGGCGGAGCTGCGCCCCCTTGCGGGCCTGGAGAGTCCGTGGCCTCTGGAGTCACGGTCACTACAGGCTGAACACTGGGCGACGTTGCAGACTGCACGTGGTGGTGACTCGGGCAGCACCAGGCGATGGAGGCTGAGCCGGGGCCTCCTGCTGGCTGGCAGATGGGCTGGCCTCCCCGGGAGACTTAGATGGCCGGGCAGGCTGCTCCTGCTCACTGGGGGGAGGTCGAGCCTCCACTGGAGGCTCGGCCGGGGCCTCTTGCTGGGCTGGAGAAGACCCAGCCTCCACAGAAGGCTCAGCTGGGGCCTCCTCCTGGGCCGCAGGCTCCGCCTCCTCGGGGCGCTCTGGAGGCGGCGCCGGGGCCTCCAGCGGGGCCGGAGCGGGCGCGGTGTCCCTGCTGGCCTCCGATGTCACCGTCAGCTCCATGTCCACAGGCTTCCCAGTCACGTGGGGCAGGTTCGACGGCTGAACTTCGTTCCGGCAAGGAAGCGGCACATTTCCCTCCCGATGCGCCGGCAGCTGAGCATCAGTCTCCTCGGAGAACTGTGGAGGCCGAGCCGGGCATTCCTCTGGCATCTCCGTGCCTTGAGCTAGGGCCTACAGAAGGGCGTAAAAGACTCCGGCCTGCTCATGGCACCCTGGAGACTGCCCCACGATCTGGAGCAGCAGCGGGAGGCTGCCAGGATCC